AAATGCAGATTTGACCTGAGAACTTTTCGACTTGAGAACCGCCTTCCAATAACGGATTAAGTTCTCAAGTCAAGACCCCATTGTACAAAGAAGCAGCCTCTTCCCCGACCAATGGTTAGCACTTTAAATTCCCCGCCTTTTTTCTGGTCATATAGCAAAGCTCCGGTTGCAAGGCAAAGCAAAATTTTGCAGCTTGAGCTGGTCATAACTCAAATTGGTCGCAAGTCGTTTGTAAGTCGAGACACCACTGTATAGTGAGCGCTATTTCTTTAGCAAACGCTACACATATCACTAAATTCCCCGCCTTTTTTCTGGTCATATAGCAAAGCTCCGGTTGCAAGGCAAAGCAAAATTTTGCAGCTTGAGCTGGTCATAACTCAAATTGGTCGCAAGTCGTTTGTAAGTCGAGACACCACTGTATAGTGAGCGCTATTTCTTTAGCAAACGCTACACATATCACGTTGACCAAACACGACTTTGACCCAACTCCGGGAAGCAGTGGAAGACAGGAGGGCTTGGCGTGCTCCGGTCCATGGGGTCACAAAGAGTCGGACACAATTTAACGACTAAACAACACAGATAATGGTCTCTGCCTCCCTCTAGTGGCCAGTTCTGGTCAGTTCATCTTTAGAAATACATATTTCTGGGATTTTTCTTTTAATATTTTCAGACTGTGGATAAGTGAATCAACAGATACTGATCCTGCAAATATGGGAGTCCTACTGTACTGATCACCCCTTGTGTATTGTATCAAAATTGGGGTTGTTTTCTTGAATTTATTCTTCCTTTTATATGTATTCCTTTGATGAATATTGTGACTGCTGATTTTATTTTGTAAACGAACCTTAGGGCTTTGTAAATAAAGGACAGCTTATCATAGTCCCCCAGCCTTGGTCTTTTCTCCTTGACTTCCTTTTATTCTGCTTCTTCTCAGGGTTTCTTGAGTCTTGTGGTGGTTTTGAGGTTTCCAGTCAAAGTGGATGTGAGACACCATCCTCACTGTGATCAGTTTATGTGTGTCTGTGTGTTTTTTTAAAAAAACAGGAAACAGGACATGCAGGACTCCCGGTCTAGCTTAGGATCCTAGTGGCTTGGCAGACGGTTAAAACTCTCCAGGTGCTGCCAGCCCTGTCTGGCCCACATTTGCTCTTTCGTGAATGGAGCCCTGTCTAGTTCAGCCCTTAGGATTCTGCCCTTCTGCTGTCAAGGCTTTACACCTCCTGCTCAACTGTGTGTTTTTTTTTGTAACTTCTGAAAAGGCTGCCTTTTTTTTGTACAACACTTTCTGAAGCACTGATGGGAAAAGAGTGCATATGTTTTAAACACTGAATGAATAAATAAATGGATGCTGAGCTGCCTTACCAGGGGTTGGGGGTGTGTGTGATTGTTCCTGGCACAGAGCCAGCCTCTGAAAAAAAAAACATCCCCACTAGGTATCCCCAACAGAAGAGACCTGGCCGGGGACAACCTTGAGGGCCGCTTCCTCTCCTTGTCAACCTCTCTCTCCCACCATTATGAGTCATGATCTTCACCCCAGCCGACCCCTCTGGGGAGGGAGGCGTGATGATCAAATGCTTGCCGAGGTGCTTTGAAGATGAAAAGCAAGAAGGGAGCAGGGTTTCATTTCCAGAGCACATCTCAGGGCTCCCCAAAGGCAGCAAGGCACACTGCGGCTTCTCTCTGGCAAATTACATCATGCAATTAATTAACTCCTTCTCCCTGTTCTGCAACTGGGAATAGGGAAGACACCATCGGAGAGGGACCCTTGCCTGCACAGGGGGCCAACCCGGTCCCTGCTTCAAGAATTCAGCATTGCCCTTCCATCTCAAGAGTTTCGTGTTTGGAGATCCGTGTTAAACACCGTTGGGCAGAATGGCATGGGATGGCTGGAGGACAACAATACCACCCCTCAACACCTTTCAAGGGCCGTGGTCCCCTCTCTCAAGTTAAGGGAGATGGAACATTTGCTGAGCCAGCTCCTGTGAGCCTCCTAGACAACTGTGCTTTTGAATGCATGCCGCTGGAAGCCAAACCGGCATAATTCCTGAGTTCCATTTCGATAGCAAGAAAGAGCCGTTCTAATGTCAGATATTTCCTTGCACAATAGCAGAATCCAGTGGAAGTTGAGGGGGGGGAGTATCTCCTGCTCCCACTGAAGCCCTCTGCTCTATACCCCAAAACCAATTCAAGAAAGCTGCACATGGGCGTCAAAGAGTCAAATTGCATTCAGCCCATAGCTAGCAACTTCTATTGCCCAATCCACCAAGAAGCGTTTTTCCAGCAAAGTAGAAATTCCAACCCCCCACTGTAAAAGATCAGTCCTTCAGCTCAGCTCCTGGAAGTTTGTTCTGAGGTAGTAACTCTGCAATCAAAGAGCAAAGCTCTTAACAATTCTGCAGCTTGATTTTGTTACGGCTGGCCTGTCGAGGCTTCCCTCTTTCCAGCCAACGCTGGCTTCTGAAAGCACGAAATGGAGTAACGCCCGAGCAAACATCTCCATTTTGGACAGGCAGCGAAATCTCAAGAGACGCCGCGGAGGATGCCAGCTCTTGGCAGTTGGCAGGATCCTGCAGAAACGTGGCAGAGAAGGTCAGGGTTTGGATCGAAAGCTGTCAACAAAGATCACATCCACCTGTTTTTAAAAGGCACTTAAGGCATTCTGGAGAACAAACAGGATGGGAAGTGATGTTTCCTTGGGAACAAGGAGACGGTTCTATTTGGAAAGCAGCCTATTTTGCTGAGAACCATCACCTGGCTTCCGCGTATCAGAGATGCTCTGCTCCAGCGCGCATGGGGCTAGGAAGAACCGCAGGGGGGTTCTGTCTCACCATTATCTCCCACGGCTGGTGCAACCGGGATACGAAGGTGGCAACTCCGATCAAAATCTGGGAAGCTCAGGAGGTGAACTGAGAAGGATCCGCTTCTTCTCCAGGTGAAAACAGTGGCACTGTGCTATGGGTAGGGTTGGGATGTGCGTGAGGGAATGAACTGTGTGTTGTTCTTACATGCTGCCATTTTGCTTCTGACTCCTGGCAGCTGTGGACACCCCTGCCCTGGTCCTGCAAACTAAAGGCTGGGTCTTCCTTCATTGAATCAAGCCGTCTCATGTGGGCCTTGACATGCCGATTTCCATGTCTCAACCAGCACTGGGAATATCTGCAAGTCAAACTGGATCCGGTAGCATTTCAGACAGTCCAGCGACTCAACATTTCGGACAGACCCTAACTCCCATACATCTCCCGTCGAAACGTAACCTCCTGCTCTAAGAGTTGAAGGAGCAACAGTTATGAATACTACAGAAAGGTTGGGCACGCACATGGATCTGCATCCTCAAAATGCACACAGGGAACCCGTTTTTCCAATGGAAAAAAAATATATCCTGAGAATATCACACCCCAGGAGCACCTGTGCAGAGGCTTAGTTCCTTAAATTTCATTTATTCCATTTTTCATTCACTCTGCCATCCAGTTCCTTCTAACATGCGGCGACCCTACGTGGCATTTCAAGGTATGTGAGACACTTTGAAGGAGTGGTTGTCCCACGGCCACACTCCAGTGGGTTTCTGTGGCCCAATGGGGATTTGAACCCGTGGTCCAGTTCAAGATGCAGTTCACAGACTCCTGTCCTTTAACGCAACAGATGAACATTGTTCCCCCTTTCCCGCATGTGATCCTGGCAACAACCTTGAAAGGCAGATTATTTTGAGAAAAGCGAGAGCGGCCTGCTACCCATAATGGCTGAATGAGGAGAGGAACTTGGGTCTCCCGTCTTCAGACTCATTTTCTTAACCTCTTCGCCCTCATAGTTATTCTGCTCAGTGGGAACTTCCATTGCTCTGCTCTACAGAAGGGATGCAATACTCATCTTCTGCCCACTGCGCACGCCTTTCCTCATTTACAGGAAGGTCTCACATCTCTGACGGCCAACAGCCTGCCTCTCCTCTTCCACCTGAGGTTGGTGAGACAGGTGGGAAGCGGGGCCTCCTCAACCAGAAGGACCCTAGCCAAGAAAATATGCAGGTGAGCAGTCTAGCTGTTTCCTGCCTTCTGCTTTGGTGTCTTACTTGGGCTCTGCTTACCCTCGTCAGCCTGATTCTTGGGTCTCCAGCTCCCAAAACCCCCATGGTCTGAGGAATGGAATCCAGAGAGAGAGAGAGAGAGAGAGAGAGAGAGAGAGAGAAATGTCTGTTCCACTCTTCTCCTTCTTTCCCCTTGCAAATAAGGGGTGCTCATAGTTTGGCTGCTAGACCAAATGCTTGAGCAGATCCTCTGAAGTCTGCCCCTCACACCCCAGAATTCATGGGGGGGCAAACGGGAGGAAAAGAGGGAATATCTCTGCTAAGGAACACAAGAGAGTGTTTTTAAAAACAGGGATTAAGGAAGCTTTCATGCGTTCTCTGCCAAACACCCAAGTCCCTTCTTCCAGGCTCCGGAGATCAGCAGCAAACTCCGGAGACCCCGCGATATCTTTTTGGCCAGACCAAGCCCGAAAGCAGAAACTCTGTCTGGGTCTGCAGCATTGTGGCATTTACTATCCTAAGCAACAGCTGCACGATGCCAGCACTCCATTCCTGGATGGGTCCTGCACCATCAGGGATGAAGCGTGGAGCGCTGCTATGGGGTACTCTTCCGCCCGCTGAACATGCGCGCCCACCCACCTCTTCCCCTCAACAGAGACTGAGGCCTTTTGAGATCTACCTCAAAGTGCAAACTGACTGGGCCCTTGATGCTCAGTGGCTAGAAAATTTATGGGCTCCTAGGTTAGACCACCAGGGCCAAGGCTGCGGGAACAAACAGCGCAGGAGATGGGCATCCCGTCCAGAGAAACCTCACTTGGGAAATGCCAGAGGGACTTGCAGAGACCATGTCTTCTCAGGGACTTAAGGCACTGTCACGAGCAGATCCATCAGGGTTTGAAAAACCTGCTCTCCGGCCACCGACAGAAGAAGTGAGGAAAGGTACCGTTCCTTCCAGAACTCAAGTTAAATCCCCTCACCAAGTCCCACAGAACTCTACGGCACTACAGACAGAAGGGCGAATATCTCTGAAGCTTCTTAGGTCTCCTGCTTGAACATACCACCGGTCTGCAGCATGAGAGAGCAAGAGAGAGCTCCATTTTATTCCAAGCAGTTCTACCACCCAGCCCTCCCAGGAAGGTGGCTGGCCTTGGATCAGAAACTTTCCACCGGCTTCATCGGATTATCCACCTGGATAAAGAAAATCCATGGGATAATGGGAAGGGGGTCCCCCACTAGCTGTTGCTGCGGCCAACTATGGAGACGGGCTCCAGGGACTCCCGTGCGGTTCAGAAGGCCGGGTATAGTTCACAGGCCAGGGCCGTTCTTAGTCCTGGGCTCCTTCCTCCTCTGTCTTGCCTCGGATAAAGGGCAGCAACTCGTTCGTCAGGGCATGGCGCTGGTTCTGCCAGTGGAAATGGGTGGGGGGCTGGCCGGCCCCCCGGTCGTACTGGAAGCCGGGGCTGAGTTCAAAGGCCAGTGCGGATTTCACCAGCCCTACTCCGCCAGCTTTCTCCGGGCCCGGGTGGTAGACGCGCCCGTTCTCGGGCAACATCAGCAGCTTCTCTGGCTGGAAGGGCACCACCAGCCTCTCAGCCCCGCCGCAGTAGGAGAGCAGCTCCTCCCCCGAGGTTCCCCGCAGGAGGTGGGTGAAGACAACGGGCCGGTCATCGCAGCGGACGTAGTTGTGCTCCCGGCCACAGGGAGACAGGTAAGGGAAGGAGTCTTCGTAGCGCCCGCTCCGGTTCATGGTCAGTTGCTTGAAGAAGAAGACCAAGAACTGCTTTTCTGGAGGAGGGAAATAAAGCAAAGGGCTGGTCAAGGCATTCCTAAGCAGCTTAGAGTCCAAACTCTCTCCAGGACCGCCTCTCCCTTGATGAGCTGGCTCGAGTATTAAGGCTCAGGGGAGGCCTTTCCCTCGGTCCCACCACCCTCACAGGTGTCTTTGGTAGGGGAAACAGGAGGAGGGGCCTTCTCTGTGGCTGCTCCAAGAGACTCTGGAACTCCTTGCCACTTCAGGCCAGCCTGGCCCCATCTTGGCCATCCTTCCGCAAGCAGGCCAAGACCTTTCTCTCCAGGCAAGCTTACCCTGAGTGACTGGCCAAGCAAAACAGATTTTGAAAGCAATTACAGTACATTAAATCAGCCTCCCAGAGCCCTTCTTATCTGGGGAAAGGAGAAGCTAGGCCAGCTGGGGGCGGCTGCTAGCTAAGCCACCTACGGCCTCCTGAGAAACTACACCTCCTTCTTAACCTCAAGGTGAACATTTTAAGGGGGAGAAACTTTCTCTCAGGGCAGCAGGTTACTTTCTGTGGGTTCACTGGGGTGAGATGGGGGTCATGCAAAAGAGGGCTGCCCTGAGCTGGGGATGGGCTACTCCAATCCTCCAGGGCAAGCCCCCCCCGGCCTCCTCCCAGCCTGCTTAGTCCCATCTAAAGGGTGGGGTGGATATTTTCTCAAGCTCTGAGTCTCCTACGAAGCAGTCCGCAAGTGAATGCCTTTCTGGAGCGAAATAGGATGGCGGCAGAAGATCAGAGATGGGCACGAAGCGATTCCTCCCACCTCGCGCCCATCTTGACTGAAGAGCCAACCTTCGTTCTGGAGGCAGCCGCGGAACCTCCCAAAATCTGGCCCTCAGGATTCCAGGGGAGACCAGTGGGGGGGGAGGGAGTTTCCTAGCTCTGCTCCAAGAGAACCCGGAGGACATGGAAGGGCCTGGAGTGGAAACACAGGCGGCTTGCTGATGCATATGGCAGGATCTGAACGGAGACCCTTTCCCGAGTCAGGCACCTGATGTCCGAGAAGGCTTGCACGCAGACAACGTCCAACACTTCTAAACAAGGGAAGCCTTTTGGGGTCTGGCTGACCGCAGGGCACCATCCCCTGCGATAATAACAACATCACAGAGAACGCTGGATCCCTGTCAGAAAGGTTGTTGGCCTCTCTGGAAGAAAAACACTAGCTCTGCGCAGAACCCATCTTTCCCTTTTACCGCAGGCCTTCCCTTTCGGCTGCCTGACAGGGCGCTTTATTCCCCTTTCCTTTGCTCTTGGCGTGCTTCGTGTCCCTCTTTGCAGAGAGCTAAGGGGTCCCCGGATGCTATGGCTGATTTGGAGTATGACAGGAGGAAAGAAGAACCCCTCTGGCTGCGCTCCCCGCGCCAAGCCCCTCGAAGCCGAGCAGGCAGAAGCTGCAGAAGCAGCGGCAACAGCAGGCGAGCGGGCGGCTCAGAATGAGGCAATTAGAGCCATTCCCAGCAGACTTTCCTCCACTTAGCAGATCCCGCGATGGAGAAGTGAAGTCAAGCAACCGCCGGAAACACCGTCTCTATTTACATGGTTAAGGCTCTGCTTTCTTCTTAAGCACATCTCTTTTTAGTCACATTTTGCATGATTTGCCTTTGGGAATTTGAACATATCTGCGGCTTGAGAGCTCACAGCCCCCAGGCAGGAAAAGATCAGACCTGTATCTCCAACAGAGGCCTCGGGATGTGCCAGAGATTGGAAGCGACCAGTTACAAGTGACAAAAATTGCCTGTGGCTAATATCTTTTGGTTTGATACCTGCATCGAGCAGGGGGCTGGACTTGATGGCCTTTGTGAGGCCCCTTCCAACTTCACTTTTCTACCATTCTATGATTCTCATGAGTGGGAACCTTGTTATTTTCAGAAGTTCCTTTTGAGGGGCATTTAAAGACATACTTTGAGGCTTTTAGACAATAATCCTTCCTTCCTTCCTTCCTTCCTTCCTTCCTTCCTTCCTTCCTTCCTTCCTTCCTTCCTTCCTTCATTCATTCATTCATTCATTCATTGGATTTCTATCCCATCCATCTAGACCACTGGTTCTTAACCTTGGGTTACTCAGGAGTTTTGGACTGCAACTCCCAGAAGCCTCCACCACAAACTGTGCTGACTGGGGTTTCTGGGAGTTGCAGTTCAAAAGCATCTGAGTAACAAAGGTTAAGAACCACTGATCTAGACCACAACAGAATGGCTGGGTTTCATCCCAAAGTAGAGCAAAGTGAATCTACAGGTCCAACTGTGTCCAGAACCCAAGTCCAGTCAGATGGTGTCCCAGTTGCTTGAACCGTCTCCTTTTATTCTGAAAAAAAGAGCTAATTTTAAAAGTGCCCAGTATGTGAACCCCTGAAGCTCGCCTTCTGAAATTCTGCAGATTTATTTCCCTCGTTAGGGTCCGCTCATTTAGCCAGATGTCATATATATCAATGTAAAAATGAGAAGCTGTAGCTTTCCTCAAGAGAAAGGATCTCTGTATCAAGTGAATATCATGTCCTTTGCTGCCACTGCAGCAGTTCCTCTTTCAATTGTGGCTTGCATGCATCTCTTTCTGTGTGGGTGACACATGACTCAAAATCAAGAGGGGTACTATTTAATTAGCTGCAGTTAGCTGCTACATCAGTGGAGCTCCCAAGTCGGTCATACTATGAACAAGGTGAGGAAGACAGGGCAGGGTAAATATACTATCATGCTCACAGTTCTATTACCCCTTCTTAGATAGAGCATGTGACATCAACAGTAACAGTTGGTAAAGATT